GTAGTAGTAGTAGTAGTAGTAGTAGTAGTAGTAGTAGTAGTAGTAGTTATAGTTATAGTTATATATAGTTATAGTTATAGTTATAGTTATAGTTATAGTTGTTGTCGTAGTACTCGTAGTTCCTGTTATTGATTATGCTGTTGTTGGTACAAATATAAGCTGCAACCTGGCCACAACATATTTTCGTCCTTTGTCCCTACAATGGGGTGGGAAAAAAACTGCAGCCTAATCGTTGTTTTTTGACACCCTCCCAAAACCACCAGACAACAAGTTCTGTTACCAGTAGTAGTACTGGTAGCACTGGTGGTAGTAGTGTAGTATTAGTAGTAGTTGTTGTAGTAGTAGTAGTTGTTGTAGTAGTAGTAGTAGTAGTAGCAGTCGTCGTAGTAGTAGTAGTAGTCGTAGTCGTAGTCGTAGTCGTCGTAGTGGTAGTGGTAGTGGTAGTGGTAGTGGTAGTGGTAGTGGTGGTAGTAGTCGTAGTAGTAGTAGTAGTAGTAGTAGTAGTAGTAGTAGTAGTAGTAGTGGTGGTGGTGGTGGTGGTGGTAGTGGTAGTGGTAGTGGTAGTGGTAGTGGTAGTGGTAGTAGTGTGGTAGTAGTAGCAATAGTAGTGCACAGTTGTTGTTGTTGTGGTAGTGGTAGTGGTGGCGGTAGTACTAGTAGTTGGTCCACGGCTAGTTGTAGTAGTAATTGTTGTTGTTCAATACTTTCTGCAAAGCGCCTACTTTGAACTTCTATACAGCCTTAAAACAATAACTGCAGCCCTGTTGTTGTTTTTTGGACCCACCCCTCAAAAGGTGTTGTTGCTTCTACGCCTAGAAACAAAGACTGCAGCCCCGTTGTTGATTTTGGACCCCCCCTCAAGAACAACACTTCAAAAACACTAGAAGCGGACCAGCCCAGACTTCAGTGAAACAAGTCCAACAAGTCCACCTACTTACAATACCAACATTCCCTCAAACTCCAACCATATCCCTAACCCTTGAAGTTCCAGAGCTACAACATGTGATAACTATGTTGGGCGGCTGTTTTTGTTTCTACCTGCTTGTTGTTGTTGTCGTCGTTGTTGTTTCCAGAGACCAGATCCTGAGCAATGCTGTGTTGAAGATCGCTTGGTTTTGTCGTCTTTGTCCTTCCACCCAGTTGACCAGTTGAACTCCCTTGTATTTTTGGTGGTTTGCAAAAACAAACACTTGAAGGAACCAGCGAAAGCTTACTCTGGGGAAATGTGTGTATGTTAACTTTTTAATGGTCTGTTTCAGTCGACTACCATTCTCACAGGGAGTCTTTGGGAGGTCTCCCTATTTCAATACACACCGCAATCCGGAGCTAGCGGGATAAACCACCCAAGTTAGGGAAACCTTGCAAAGACCACAGAACTGGCCGCAGGTGGCGTGTTTACGCGCTGAAGTGGAGAGGAGGTGGGGCATATGCTGGTGCTGCGAGGGGCCAGAAGTATCAGAAGCACCTAAGATGTATCATGTGACATTGCAGGTATTGATGCGCTGAGCCCTGTAATCCAACAGATTTGATGCAACTATAGAGTTCCAGCAAGTTTTATCCAACGCGATCGTAGTTCGGTCAAAACCAATTCAAATTCCATACCTGCACATCTTCCCAACAAAAAGAGCCCCGGAAAGAGCACAGGGTGCACGTGTGTCGGTTGATGTCAGTGGGGCTCCTTCTGTGAAACTGCCAGACTGAAGGTCTGACGGGCTTTAGGGACAGATCTAGGTTTTCCAGACCTGGGCTGGAGCGAAACACCATGGAGTTCCTTCAAGCTTTGATTGCAGCTTTGCCAGCATTTCGTCCGACTTTCATCAGTAATTCAGGCGCATACAAGAACACATGAACCGTGTGCCATGAACACATGTAAACTAAACAGTCAACTTACACATTATTTATTTTTTTTTCAGGGGGCTGTCATTTCTCAATCTAGATATAGAGACTTCGAAGCGCACTGTGTCACCAATGAACAGGTATCTTGCAGTCATCTAGCTTCTAGCTTGAGTTCCTTCAAGCCGAGAGGCGTAAACCTATAAACTAAAAAACACGAGGCCGCCGTCCACTGTTCAAAAGATCCAAAACCTTCTTTTATAGGGGGCGCCGAAATGGGGGAACTGCAAAGATGGAAACCTGGGGAGAGCTTCAGAACCGACAAGTCACCTAAGATTAGTTGAATTTGAATTCTTGATTAAAGGCGTATCAAAACTTGAATAAACCTCCAGATGAAAGGGCCTGCCTTTTACAATACCGTGAATGATTAAAAGAATTTGATTCTTCGGTATTCATCGCCTGTAAACTTTTCAGCAGGCTTCCAAAGAGTTCGAAAGGTGATGTTGCTGTGCCATGCGGTTTTGTGCGGCCTCCGTGGAAAGTGCGTCCGCGTGGCTCTGTGCCATTGGGGAAGGGTGTGTGTGCGTGTGTGAATGCGGCGTGGCGGGCACGATTGGTGGTATTTCTAGTGGGTGGGTGGACAGAGTTGGACAGTTAGGTTTGTTCTAGGAACCCAGTCTTTTAGTAGTAGGCTAAGAGGGTGAGGATTTTCAGACAAACATAAACCCTACATTTACTTGTTTCCGACATGCGTTTAAAATGTTGCTGCATTTTTGAAAGCAATTGTGACGATTCCGGCTACTGTTATCACGAACTACACAAGCCAGAGGGATGATTTCAATAGTTTGGAAAGACTGTTGTTTATGAATCAGATCTTTTATTCCCAATGTCTTCCTAAGCATTTTGAAGCTGCTTGTTATTTTATCTCATTTTTCAACGGGCATTTTGTGGTTGGACGATTTGGCTGGCACTGGAGTCCTTTCTGAGACTCCCGCAAGAGCATCCGGAGGTGACAAAAGCCATCCAAAAATACAAACCGTAACAAGTCTTTCAAACAAGTCATAGAAGCGACATATTTTTACACGGGCTGTCTGTGGCTTGTTTTGGATGCACTTCTACAAGCGAGTGCGAGTTTGGAGATTATTTAAACGACCTCACACACATTGGAAGGTGGCTTGTGCTCCCAAAGAGTAGAACAAGCAAAATGCATGCTACGCCAACTTCAAGCTGAATTGAATCAAAGACCCGCAGGATGCCGTGGAGGAATGTGGGCGCGGGGCCTGTGCGCTTGGATGGGGCCTACAGGATGACCTATGCCGCCTTTCGTTGGGCGTGGTGCGCAAACCTGGCAGCCGCGCCAAGGACGGATGTTCGCAAGCTGTCGTTGAAGGTAGCCCCGTAGCCCCACGGTTTTGCGAGAGGAGGTCCCATATCCTTGTAAGAGATGATCATCGCTGTGGCGAGCGCAGAAGCTGAAGCTGGTCCTGCAGAGCGTCAAGGACTTGTGCGCGAAGTGGAACGGCAAGCAGGTAAAAATTACCGAGGTGCATGACTAGCACTTTTACGGCTTGAAGCTGCCAGGCGGAAGGTCTTCCCAGCCAGCAGATGCGCCAGCGATTCTTCACTCATCATTCGCGCTACTAAGCGAAGGGCCTTGCTCTCCCACCAGTCTGGGTGCCAATGGCTGTTTGCGGTCTGGAGGCCAAAGTTGCGCCAGAAACTTCACCCCGAATTCCCGGTCCAAAGTTATAGTGTATGAAGACAGGTTAAGAAAACCACTTAGGCTATCTCTGATGGTTTTACCAAATAAGAAAAAGCAACTACAAAAAGCAATCGCAACAAAGCAAATACGAAAAACCACAAAAAGCAAATGAAAAAGCAAAAAGCCACCAAAAAAGCAAATCCAACAAGCAAACAAAACAAATAAACACAACAAAACAAAAAAGAAGCAAATGAACAAGCAAACGCAACCAAAAAAAACAAAAGCAAAAAAACAAATGACGCAGCACAAGCAAAGAAGAAGCAAATCCAAGAAACCAAAAAGCAAATGAACAAGCAAAAGCAAGCAATGCAAATCCAAAGAGCAAAAAAAGAAAAAAAGAAAAGCAGTCAAAAATCAAAAGGCAAAACACAAACACAACACATCAGAAAGCAAAAGCAAAAAGAACGCAAACAAAAAACAACAATAAACAAACAATCAAATAACATAAAGAAACACTAAATAAAACACAGTCCAGAAAACAAAAACCAATGAAAAACAACAAAGCCAAACGGCGCAAAACTCAAAAGCAACGATGATGATTTGAAAATTGCCAGCAAACAGCACAAATTAACAAAAACTGCTGACTGCAAACACGAAACAACCGAACAACCAAAAACAAAGAAAAAACAACATGCAAAACAACAGAAGAACAAGCAAACAAGCAGACAAAATATGGTGAAAAACACATGTACAACACATAAGCAACTAATTGAAATTCAAAAACACAGAAGTACTTGAAAAAACAATCACAAAGGGAAATGACTCCAGCAGGCAAAAAACACATATAGAACGCATATAATGCAAAAACAAGTCCACCAAAAGACAAACAACACATACGTACCAAGTTGACCAAAGTGTAACAAACATCAACAAGCCGGTTTCAATACAAAGGGTATACAACCAAGTGAGAAAAACAAAAGACTGTAACATCAGCAGAAAAACAACGTATGATGAATAGTCGGGGCAAGTACGCAGTGAAAGTCCGAAACAAAGAACACAACAGTCAAAAACAACTCCAGCTGTAACTAACCAAAGCATATGACACATACCAAGAAATCCCAACGAACCACACAAACAAACCTAAGACCCAAGGAGCTATCCCAATGAGTACAAGTAGAAACAAACTCAACCAACATACATCCAAACAAGCAATCAGCAATCAAACACACAACAACATCCAATGGCACAGTGCCACTGTGTTACTATCGGGTTGCCGCTGGTCAAATTTGATTGATTAGGTTAGCGGTTAGATGATTAGAAAAGATTTCCATACACACATATTCAAAAAACAACGCTGACGGCGACGACGCAATGACACGCGCACACAAACACCAATGAATTGAACCCTCAACGCAGCCAGAAGGGCTTAGGCCTAGGTGGTGGCGTGAAATTGGTTTTGGTGCTCTCCCCATGTGGCAACACTAATATTTGATAGCTGTTAGTTCCATTCGCAGGCAACGATTCACTGTTGATCAGTTGCAAAGGTCGACCAGCTGGGCCAACTGCAAACAACCAGGCCCAAGCGGCCAAGCGCCACAAATGCACACACAAAACCAACAACCGTAACCGTGCTGTAACCCAAAAGTGAAGAAGCCAGCAGTTCACGAAAGGTAGCCCTTTAGGGGATACCTTGAGTTTGTCTTGCGAAGCAAGTGTTGGGACGTCCGGGTCTAATAATTGATCGCTCAATTCAGACCCCCCCCCCCCCCCCCCCTCTAAAATCAATTCTCTCCTGGAGATTCTCTTCGTGAGCCTCTCATGATTTCAGGATAGTTGAAACCCTCTTGAACATTCAGAAAGAGTGAATACGAAATTCTAATCACGAAAGGTGTTCTGTGAAGCACGTCAATTCTCTCCTGGGATGTTCCGATTCAATGCCCACCGATGATCTGAGCCATGGGGCAAGTTTGTTTTCCTAAGAATCTTTTTGAACATTTCGAGAGCACATGTTTGAACATTTAAAGTGCATATGAACATATATGTACGAAAGGTGCCTCCGAGGGGATAAATCACCATGTCGAACATTGCATTTTTGTTCCTGCCTCTCGCGTTCTCTTTTCTTCCCGCTGTCCTACCTTTCGTGTCTCCCTCCTCTCAAGTGGGTTGGTTAGGTGCAAGAAGAATAAAGAGGGTCCAAAACGGAGAGCCAAGGCAAGAAGGGGTTGAAACTAGCAGGGAGAGCTGACGTTTACCAATCTAGTATTGCAATAATACTAGATTGGTGGATAAATATTTGTAGTAGAGCAACAAATGGTTTGCATGACGTAACAGAACAGAACATACCAAGGAACTGGATTCCTTGAGCGCAACAGAGGCAAGTCCAAGACATACAGCAAACAGTTGCACCGCACGAGAGACAACAGTTGGTACGTAAGGAATGTGGGAGTGACAGAAAAACAGGCAACAAGGTGCAACAAACATTGCGTGTTTGACTGTGCGTTGTAGTGTGACTGGACGTTTGTTACTGAACTTCAGTTTCAATGAAAAACCCTGTTCAGGCTCAGCTAGCAGTAGTAGAGTCAGGGTCAAGACCAGGCCGACGGGATGTAAACCTGGGGTGGGTTAGGTCAGGGCTCGGCCAAACAAGTAAGGTTGTTGGGTCGAAAGAAGAGCCATCCTGGCTACGGCCTGGCAGCTGGAACATCGCCCGGGCTCCGTCCCTGTCAACCGATGTGCGACTTGCGTGTTTGTACAACAATTGGCTGTTTCATATAGGGATGACTGGACAGGCGACGGAGTACCCCAAATGGTCAGGGAACTTGCCACGCACCGTGGCGGGGTGCCAAGAAGTGCATCAGCGGTCGTCAAGGGCTGTTCCAACAAAACGGCCTTTAAGGCGTTGCAGAACAAGACCAGCAGGTTTGGAAACCGTCTCGCGCGACCCATGTATTGAAGAGAGTCACAGGTCTTGAGTTTGGAGCGTGTAGCAGGCGCATTTTCACACTCAGACGCACGCAGTCTTGCGGCTTGTCCCCACTGCGCAAGAGGCAAAGCTTCAACAAATCAATAGAACAAGCTAAGAGTACACAGTCCTACAACCAACAGAGTCCGGCAAGGGTAAGTGCTCATTCTCCAGATTGATCTTTTATTCTTCTAGGCTCTATATTCTATCAACATTAATGTTCTAACTGTTTTCAATATATGTCCTAGCTTTTGCTTCGGCTTTGCTGCACTGTTTCTTGGAGACCCCTCCCTGCTTAAACCTGTTTGCCTGGATGAGCAATCTTCGCGCACCATGAGCTGGAATTGGAGAAGTAGGTGTCAGAGGAGAGTGCCCTGGCAGACGCTTGCACGGCCTCTTCCAATGGCGCAAGTGAGGCTGGGGCAATGGAGGATTGCACAAAACTGACGGCGCACATGTTTTCCTGTTGTCATTGATTCCCTTGGTTCCATTCGACTCCAAGTCCTTAGCTGCTAAGGCAATTGACCTTTCAGCCCATCTGTTAAGAATTACTTGCTTATTTGTTTGTTGTTTTGTTTTGTCATTTGCTTTGGTTCTCTTTGTTGTTGCGGCATGGTTGGCTGATTTGCTTTGTTCGTGCGATTTGTCTGAACTTTAGTGGTTACAGTTACATACAGAGTTATAGCATAGCTGTTGCAGGCTGTTGTAGCGCTAAGTTAACTTAAGACTTTGCTGATTTGTTTGTTCATTTCGCTGTCTGCTGTCTCTGTTGCTCTGTGTTGTGTCTTCTCCTTCCTGTTTGTTTGGATGTGGCATGTATTTGGTAATGTTTCTGCTGTTGGTTCATGTGTTTCTTCCTTCTCAGACTTCTTGGAATCTTGGACTTGTATCAAAGTTTAGAAGTTGTTGTTTCTTTTCTTGGTTGCTTTTAGGATTGGTTTGTTGTGCTTTTGTTTTGTTTTTGATTCAGCTTTTTTGCTTTTTGGAGTTGTTTTTTTCGTGTTTTTTTTTTCAATGTTCTTTTGCTTTTTCATTTGCTTTTTTTGCTTTGCTTTTCGTTGCTTGTGCTTTTTGTCTCTATTTTTGCTTTTTGGATTTGCTTTCTTTCTTGCTTTTGCTTTTTCATTTGCTTTTTGTTGTTGTATGATTTGCTTTTGTGTTTTTGCTTTTTCATTTGCTTTTGTTTTTTGTATTTGTATTTTTGCTTCTGCTTTTTGTAGTTGCTTGTTTCTTGCAGTTTCTTTTTTTTCAAGATTCACAGAGTTAGCCTGGGTCCAGCGATGATGAAAGGATGTGCAGAACTGCAGGGCAAATTTCACAACCCTGAGCAAGTCGATGTCTTCGTGTCAGTCACGCAGACGTCCCGCTTCCTTGGCCCTGGTTGTTTGAGTACCCGAAGGCAAGCTGAGATTTCACGTAGCGTGAGCCACCCGATTGTAAAAGTTGGAGGAGGAAGGTGCCTCCAAGGTAGCAACATGCCTGCGTGCGCAAGTGGGTCATGCCTGGCATGTGAGCTAACTTTGGCGTGCGCAAGTCAGGTTTGGGACATGACCCCTTCATACTTCAATTGGCGGGGTCGACTGCCGACATACATGTTCCATACATGGAGAGTCTCGGATATGTAACTAATTTTTGCTCATTTATATATGTCAAACTTTTTCACGGATGGATAGTCTTGCCTTCATGACCGAGGTTGCCGGAGTCGTTCCACAAGCCCACGCAGGGAGCGTAGCTCCGCCGTCGCGCTCCGCAGGTCTCAGTCTCAGCATGTGAAGGCGCGCGGCGGGGGATGGAGAGGGAGCCGATCGTCATGGAAAGGGCTTGCTTGGTGAGAAGGGAACGCACAATTTGAAGCCTTTGTTTTGATAAAGTCAGTTTGTTGAATGTTTTTATGTTGTGACATGTTGTGACCATGTTTGGTGATTGTTGCAGGTTATGGATATTTATGGTTGTTTTGTGTTTGTTTTTGATGCCTGACGGCTGTGAAACAATATGAAGCAACAACATGATGCTGGTTGGTGAATCATCTACAAGGCCATGGTCAATGCCACAATGTATTGCAACAAAACGTATAGGTGGAATGAGTTGAATGAATTGTCCAGAACTTCCGCTTCCCACGTCCAAAATTCCGGTGGTTTCGGATGATCAGTCACAGGCCAGGTTTGCAGGTTTGCTGAGAACAGATTGATTTTTATGTTTGATTTTTTTTTATCATCCAAGGTATCCCATTCGCTCGAACTCCGAGGCTGTGGTTGTGTTTTTTCGCCAAATTTGTCAATCAAAAATTGTTTTTTACCTTCCAACGGTGGAATATGTGTTCCTCATGTGATCGTCAGCGATCGCCACGGGTTTAACAAAAAAACCCTTTTGCAGTGGAACGTTTTACCCTTCCATGAGTACTGTAGGGGCAATTCTTGGTTCTGACCACTCAGATTTCCAGTTCAAAACACTTGCCAAAGGGTTTGTGATGGATGGTCCGTTTCGACATGCCTGAACCATACTGCACGTTAGAACAGGTGCATTTCCTGGTTCTCTCCTATGTTTCTTCAGTTTCATTCTTGTGCCCCAAAAGGCAGTGTGGGCCCCTCTCAACACTTGGCATGCTCTTGAAACACGGTACTCCAGCACACCATTTGACACTCGCTCAGGGCATACATGAATTTGGGTCGCAGAAAATACTCATGTTTCATTTTAAGATTTACCTTAGCAGTAGCAGTTGTAGCAGTTTAAAACGTGGTTCACCATGAAAGAGCATGAAATCACAAAGTCCTCAAGACAACCCTGTCCTGTTCACCTCATCTCTCTTCAGGACTTGCCCCGGCTAGGCCGGCCGCACCTGAAGGCCGAACCCGAGTGGTGGATGACTAGACTAGACAAGACTAGACGATGTTCCTCTACGAAGACGGGTGGTTTTTGCGACGTCCAGCTTTCACTCCGAGTGTCTAAACAGACGATGTGACAAGGCGAGGTCATCGATTCGACGCCAGGGATCAGCACTCCATCACCCGTGGACCACCAGGCATAAAATACGTAACACCAAGAGCCATAGCGCCCTGGTAATTAAATGTGACTTGTTGGGAACCTTTTTGTTGGATGCTCGAACGTTGTTTTTGCCAGGCAAGGGCATAGACTGCGTCAGTGGCATGATTTAAGTAGTTATCATGTTATTTGCAGGTCATATCCGAAGCTGGCAAAGACATTCGACGTGTTAAGACACCAAGTCTGGCCATGTCTGGAAGATGATCACCTTGAATGTGGGGCACTCGTCAGGTGCTAGTGTCGTATTGGCTTGGGTGGTGCCAACTCGGTGGATTTGGGAGGTACTTTGATGTACTCCCCATGAGCTCCCCATGCTATGCCTGTTTGTAGGCAGCAATGCTGGCCACATTCGCCCTGGTGCCAGGCAGGTGGTATCGTGGGCTAATTCGGAAGTCTGTCCATTTTGGCACCGCACGTGAAAGAAGTTTAAACGGGGTGGGTGATATCTTTCGGCAAACAAAAACAAAATTTAATTATGATTTTATCTCAAACAGATACATTTCCAACCATTTCCATGAATTTGTTGGTGTAATATTTTATTTGATATAGACACTTTTGTTGTGATTTGATTTCTCAAGCTTGTTGATTGCCTTACTCAAGACATAGAGACACCGCTGCCAGATGATGACCTGAACACGAAGGCTCGTCGCGATGATGACCTGTCTTCCCATCGTTTGTGACCGAACTTCAAGGGACCTGGTGACCTCAGTTAGCGGATCAAGTTCGAGGAAATCGGAAGAGAACGCAGGTCTGATGTATGAAGTCTCAAACCTTTCCCAAGAATCATGGAGTCTCAGAGACTTTGGTTCAGGTCCAAGATCCTACAAGATATTCGCAGGGCCTGAAACCCTCCAGTCCAGGTTCCACAGAAGGTCAGGGCTTGGTGTAGACCAACTTGAACAAGCGATCCACGGATGGTCCGGTCGGTTTGAGGGAGATTCCCGACTCCAATGTTCTGCAACTCTGTACACCGGCCAGAGAGTTTAGGTATACGACATGCACCACCTGCTGTGGTGAAGTGGTTTTGGCGGGATCTACTGCTCACGTGAATGGGAAAACTGCTCGTGCGATCTACGAGATTGTCTTTTGTAGGTCTCAGAGGCCTCGCTGCTGGAATGTCAGCAATGTTTCTGTTTTTGTTTGGCCTTCAAGTCCAGACTAAATAGACTTCGAATCCAACACCAAGACATTTCAATGATGGTCATCATCAATGATTCCTAGGCAGTACTCTGAATCAAGACACCAAAGCTCTAGCCTTTGGTCTTTGTGTGCAACCTCTTTTCCACCACACCAGTTACCCAAACCGTTCCGACCGCCACCAAACCGACCTCTTCCGGAGGTGGAGCCCCAACAGCTGGAGACTCGACACCTTTGCCGAGAAGTCCGAAAGGTTCGTCCCCCGCGGCGTTCGAAGCGTCGCGCGGCACGTGCCGTGCGGCGGTGTTTTTTTGCTCTGTGGCGCGGAGGACGGGGCGAGCGGCGGGTGCCAGCAGGGTCTAATTACCTTTTGAGGATGTGGCTGGAGCCCTAGGGACATTGATGATAGCAAAGTTGGCTACTGATTTTGTTGTAAATGTATATACTGTATAGCTTGCTGACGATATTGAACATTTAGAGTAATTATGTATAGTGTGTACTTCAAACGGATACTTGATGCTGCTGTGTTTGTTGCTTGGTGATCCTGTTCTCTGTGCTGAATACATCATACGTATCCTTTTCGTGCCGACGTCTCCATGCCGCCGCTGCCAGCAAGGCAGAGCGAGAAGTGGAGGCGTTGCAGCAGGTAATTGAGAAGAAGCTTCAAGAGGCAACGGTTTGTTTGGTTTCGTTGTTGATTTCGGACGCATCAACCCAATTCGTGCGGGCTGCAAGGCTGTATCAAATGTATAACTACGGGCTTTTCCGGCCTAGGGCTTTGGGGTTTTGATTAGGCATGATGAGCCGATGTTTTTGCATCTTGAACCGCCAGGATAGCTGGCTGCGCAGCATCTTTTGTGGTTCTTCCAAACTGTGGCTGTTAACAGTGTGACACGTGTTATAGAAATTACATATAGTTCCCAGACCATCTATGATGTATGACTGTATGACCTATTTACCTACGTTAGGGTGGTTTCAGGGGTCAATGTAGGCAATGTAGGCGTATACACCAGACATGGAGTGTTTGGGGTTGTTTGATTGTTTTTTGAATCCGCTGATCCGTTGATTTGTCGAACATTGAGATGATCAGAAGCAGTATCAATTTGAGGAATATGGAAATTGTTAGACAGCAAGGTTAGCAATTGTGGAATATCTATAGAATCTATGTCTTGATGCACCTCCAGGGGAGACCTGTTTTTGTATCAGGTGTTGGTATGTAACCACAGTATTGCTTCAATTTGAAGTGCTCCGAGTTTTGTGAATGCTTCGCTTTTGGCCACCAGGTCCGAAAGGCCTCCTTCTTCCAGGAGCAGGTCCGCTTCCGGTGGAGGGCAAACATTTGTCGTCCCCGCTTGAAGTTCCAGCGGTTCCAGTTCAGAAACCACAGACCGAACGATGTCCTGGTTCCTTACTACTTGTGGCTCCTTGGATATTTCTGGATTTTTCCTCCTAGGAGCACGGGAAGATGGCTGAAAATGGAAGGATCCCGACCCTGTTTCAGGTCGATCGTTTCAGGTTCTTCCCGATCCATGCCGTGCACGTCGCGCACATTGCACAGCATCTTCCAGCAGGGGAAATAGAACAAGTGGAAGGGTGCCGAAACATGAAACTGCGGTTACTCGCAGTCAAAAGCCACCGACCTACCGACCCTTGCACCCACTAAAACTCAACCTGGAGGATCTTGAGGGGTAGGTGATCTAGCACCCTTTTTGTGAGCCAAGGTGAGGCCCCACTGATTTCACCATCCCAACATCTCGCCCCAACTGATGTCCTTCCGTTGAAGAGGTGGCGGACCATGTGGAGTCGGCTCGAAGGAGGCCGGGCACGAAGGTCAGCACACCACCGCTTTAGCAGAGGCCGCTGCAAAAGGAACAGGTGTATGTTTTTGAATCCTTACCACTTCTCCCATGGAGTATTTTTGTGACGTTTGAGAAATGAATAGGGTACGCACTCGAGCAGACTTGGGACGTATAACTGCAAGCTGCTGCAAGCAGAGGAGATTGGTGTTCTCCCTTCGACAGTCGTCATAAGATTTTTCGTTTGGGTGAACTCCTTGGGCCGGACACGCGAACATGGTCCTGTGATGGTCCTGCGATTCTTCGGGTCGGACAGGCGAACCGCTCTGATGGTTGCACCGTTCCAAGACGATTCTCAATGTGATTTGCAAACCACCACTGGCCCACTAGTGTTCAAAGGTTCCCACTGGCCCACTCTCAAGTGTCCCCGGGTGGTCCAGAGGGTCAATCTGGTCTTGCTTACTTGTATACGGTCGGTCGTCTGATGAAATAGTGTGCTGGGGTCATCAGGCTGGGTCTGAGGACCGTGGTTCGTGTGGTGTCCGGACATGGGATCCGAAGACCAAGCCCACGAGGACACCAGCAGTCTTTGATTGGTTTTGTGAAGTGCTGGATGAATCGAATAATTTAGTATTTTAAGCAAGGACTGTCATGCAGATTGGTGTAATAGTTTGTCATTTGATGCTGAAGTATGGTCATGGTCCTGGTGCATCTTGAAAAGCAAGTGACAATTTGGTAGTGCGTTAATGAAAATATGGCCCGGAACTATATAATTGCTAGAAGCTCAGGTTTTACAACAGAAAGCGGCATCGGTAAAGAGGGGCAGGTGGCCTCACCTAAAAAGATCCTTGCAGCCGATGCTAGAAGTCCAGAGAGGGTCACTAGCCTGCTCACAAAGTTGCCTTCTATGTGAGTTTATTTTACAATACATTATAGGGTTTGCCACTGAAAGATGCATGGTTTGAGGAAACAGTTCAGCCCAGAATTTCATTACACCCAGTTGCCCGAGGCTAACCCCACCCAAACGGACTTTGCCTTCATCATCCTGTGAAGCTGAAGTGCAGAGTTGAAACTGATACCTTAATCTTGGGCTCCAAGGTATATATCCTTCCTTGCATTCCTATTTTCATGTTCATGCTCTTCTGGTCTTCCTGCATTGCTGCTGGAAGGAATGTTGCACGTGCCTCCAGTCTGCCCTTTCGTGTGCCGACGTCGCGTAAGATCGAGAGATGGGAAAGGCACTGCAATCGTTTGATGCAGCTGCAAAGGCGAATCAGGTTTCCGCCACTGGAAAGCTTCACAGTTGGTGATAAAACATATATGCTTCCACTTAAAGCACTTGGTCCTCCATCACATCTCCCAACTCAACAAGAGCTTGAATATATAGCTGGGTTCTTTGATGGAGATGGGTGTGTGAGCATGAGAAAGAGAACCGGACAAATGTCAATGAGTATCAGCCAAGCTTTGGACTCCGTAGGAGTGCTCATCCACTTCCGCGACAGTCTTGGCGGCGGAGTGTATCGAGGAGGAGGCCAAACAGGAACACGGCAAGCATTGCTGCAGTGGCAAGTTTGCGGCAAAGCCATGCAGCACGCAGCACAGGTGCTTTGCAAAGTTTCTTCCAGGCACCGGGCACAACTCCGTATAGCAGCAGCTGGGACAATTGCAGAAGCAGATAGAAGTGATGTGGCGCAGAAGCTAAGGCTGTTGAAGCAGAAGGACAATGTGCCTGCAAGCTTCCATTGCTCGTGGTCCTACTTTGCAGGTTTCTTCGATGCCGAGGGCTCGATTAGTGTTTTTGGATCTCACGTTGGGCTTCATCTTCAAGTGGAGCAAAAGAATCCATTTGTTTTGCAGGAATTGCACTCCTTCCTGCACGAGGGTGAGTTGACCAAGTGGAAACTTCGATTAAGGGCCAACGGTTTCAGCACCCTCGTTTGCACAGACCTGGCAACTTGCAAACTGACGCTGCGGCACCTGTTGGATGCTGGCCTTGACCTTAAACAGAGACAGGCGGCTCTAGCTCTTTCCCTCTCTACCGACAATGACAAACACGTTCGTGAGGCAATCATTGGGCTGAATGGGCTCCAAAATAGTTACAAGCGCCTTGACGATGCCGGCATCGACCGTGCCAAAGAAATTAAATTGCTCTGCGGCAAATGCCGCAAAGCCTCCTCCAAACAAGAGGGTGAGTTGCTGCAGGTGAAGCTTGAAGGTCTTCGAGAAGAGCACAAGTTGCAGAACTTGATCACCAAGTTCAAGCGCCTACGGGGCAGCATCAAGCAGTCACTTAAAGATGGAGGTTTCATGGTTCCCAGTTCAATAAGAAAACAGGCAGGGTCGATCCAAAGATGTTGACGGTTTTGCTTGAATTCTTCGGAATGCACTCCTTGGACAAGCTTGAGTTGCAAAGGTGGACACTTGGTTCCATCCGCAAAGATCTAAGCACATTTGAGTGGCACAGACATTGAAAGTTGCTAGCTGACGCTGGATCAGGCGGCCCTTCCTGTTTCAATCAGGTCAGACAATCACACACACAAGTTATGTTTGACACGTCATCTTCGAATTGAACAGGCTCAGCAATCGATATTCCCAACTCAACGACAAAGGCACTGACTGTGCCAAACATTGCCAGGTAACAGCAGGCAACAGCGGCAGACAGAGCACATGATTGACCCAACAGCAGATCCGGATGACGCAGAAGAAGCTTGAAGAGCTTCGAGAAGAGCACGCGTTGCAGATGTTGATCACAAAGTACTGGTAGTAGTACTGGTGCTTTTGCTGAAACTTCCGAAAGTTACTGGAAGAAAGTGGGACCGCTATGACACTCTGCCGGAGCTTCAAAGGAAGAAGTTGAGCCACATTTCCTTGACTTTGTTTATTTTGTTTGACAACTTGCGTGTGGAGGAAAACGCAGGATGGCCCCCACGTGTTGTTTTTTCTTCAGGGACAATTGACTGATATCATCTGCCGGCACCTTTCAAAAATGCAACATGATGCGACCCTTCACAGCTTAGATGGGACGTCCTTGGTACATGGCATTGAGCTGCCTTCCCATAAACCCGTTTGACAATCGACATGATATGATGCATGTGTTTTTCTTTCAGGGTCAATACTCATTCGCATTCATTCGCACATATTTCTGAATTCCATGGGTTTCTCTTTGAGACACTCCGTGTGGAAAGGACAAGTGATGGGGACTTCCACTTGCATAGACCCAAGGCATGTGAAACACAGACTCGAATGCTTGCTACCTCCCTCACCCTAACAATCCATGTATGGAATGCCTACATTGGAATGATTCGGAATGATTTTAGTAATATTTAGATATTTTAAGGTGTCTTTAGGGTCAGTGAGGGTCACAGGGACATCACGGCGGTCCCGCGGTCATCGCGTCTTGGCTCTTTTGCGTGTCGCAGGTATCAGATGGACTTGGAGGTCGGGTCCACCTCACGAGGTCCCGCGGGAGCCGCAAGCGCGGGCGACGTTTATTTATGGATGGTGTTTTTTTGTTTTTTGTTTGATTTTTTTCGGGACGTTTTGATTGGCATTGAGCCAGCAAAATTTGGAAGTGGGAACAGGTCTATACTATGTCGATGGTTTTGTCGATGTTTGCTCCCCAAATTTTCGGGCCTTTGGTGGGAAGCGGGGAGGAATGTCAAGGATTGTTCATCCCTCGATTTCATTGGACTTGAATTGCAGCATTGTTAGGCAAAGGGAAAGGGATCGTCCGTGCTTCCTGGGCGCCCATTTGGTGAGCTGTCTTCAGCTCACCCTACGCCGAGTTCGTTCGAACGTGGCGTCGTTGGTTTCGGCCCTTCGGTGTCCAGACGGCTCCCACTTCGTGAACTCCTTGGGCTCGAAGTACTTCAATGCCTTTGGCCGAAAGGCGCAGATGGGGGGGATGCTCCATCAGGTCAGATGGGTGGCAGAATCATGTGCGCGGTCGTAGAAGTCATGCCTCGGGAGCTTCGATGGGTCACAGACCCTCCGTGTAATTCATGAGAGAATTTGTTGCCAGAAGTTCCATGCCAGGAGTGCCCATGATCCACTCACCTAGGGTTTCAAAGACTATACTGCTTATTATTGGAAGTCCTGGTCAATACCGGAGCATATGTGGATTGGGGCTACTGCCACGGGTCAAAGATGCTTTGGATGCAACTTTAAAAGGACTTAACCCACTCTAGGAACTGAGACATCTTGCTATATTAACTTGACTTAGAGGATGGTCTCCTGCCCATTTTGCCTTACTGATATTTCACTGGGACGCATTTCACGCATGCTTGCTGTTCGAACAGGAAATTCAACAGGAGAGGCCCGGTAGTGCGATGCTCAGTCGCGCGAGGCTTCGAAGGGTTTGTACTTGTACTGCCTTTTCAGAATCAAAGGCTCAAAGGTCTTCTGTTGATGTTGAAGGATGTTGAAGGAATTCAGGGTGTATTTTGATTTGACGTTTCTTGAATTGCCCAATCAGTTGGGTTTATACAGCCATCCAAAGTATGTTAAGGTCCATTTCCAATCCCACCAAGCACTCCCAGTGTTTGGATGTAGGTTGACCTGCTGAATGATGGTAGGTTGGTCCTTCCTGCTAGCTTCCGTCACCTGAAGACCAATGCAGAAATTGGATAAATATATGGATAAATATGAAAACCTGAGTTCACGAAAGGAGATGATAGGTGGAGGGTATCCCCAACAGGCAGGTGCCCTTGTGTGCCCATGTTGATATCTATACTCTGGGCAGAGGCAAACTAATTATGGCGAACTCGTCTCGAACCAAGACAAATTGCACCTGAACCAACACTAAGCCATTGATCCTCACGGGCTGAATCCATTGTGTTTTTTGTTCCACCCATGCTGCGCACTTACTTTCATTCCAAGAATCAAACAAATTATATAAAACAACACAACTCTCCCAGCACCCTCCAACAGGTCCAATTGAAACCTGTTGGGGCCTAACCAGCCCTCAAAGGAGACCTCTAGAGTCGGGTGCTGGTCTAGAATAGACTCCAAAATACCCACTGTCTCATGCCTCCACCCCAGGGTCCTTCACGGGTGCCGGCCACCCCCGACCCCGATCTGATCCGTTCCGAGTCGGCTCGGAGCGACGCGACGTCCGAGGCTTCCAGGGCTTCGCCACGTTGTCGGCGTCCTTGGCCATGGCCAACTCCGAGGACCGACAGCAGCAGGGCAGAAGGGCTCAGCAGATGACAGGCTGAGCTGAGCTATAGCTCAATGCGACATGATGGGAGTGTGTTTGGGAAGATCATGTTAGGTGCAAGCCCAGGCAGTATGAACTTGTTTAGTGCAAGGATGTGCAAGGGCAAAGTTGTGTTTCTTGTTTTGGGGGGTGCGTCGGATCTGTCCACTACCTTGCCATACCCTCCTGAACCGGGATCCGGAGTGCCGTCCTATTTTGCGGTGAATCGCACTTCCCCCCGAACCTCCGGTGAACGACGTTCATTCCGCCAGGATCGGCCGCCCTCGTTGATCTTCGATTGGGACGACACCCTGTGTCCCACCTCATGGCTCCGCCGGGGACGCCTAGAGCTATGCCATTCTCAGGAAGGAAGATGTGTTCTGAAACCTGACCGGTGCACAGGGAGGAAGGAAGAAGATGTGAGAGGGTTGATTTTGTTGGTCGTTTATTTATGTACCCCGAAATGGTCCAAAACCGACTGGTGCAAAAGCAGTCCGAAGTCTCCAAAACAGGCAAGACAGTGATTGTTTCTAGTCCAGCAACAGGTTCCATTGCAGGAGGAGTCAAAGTAAAAGCTCAAAGTTGCTTTCAATGATGGCACCTCAACGAACCAAACCTGCTGGCCTGTGCCGTAGGCAAACTGCCGGGTGATGCGAAGGTCGCGAACAACATGAAGCTCGAGCTCCATGCAGGTTGTGGCCCTGCAACGCTGCGTGAGAGGTCGATGCAAGAGAGACAAGTGCTTCAAACAGTAACAGATAGTAACAGTTACTTTCCTGGTTGTTTGATTGAGGTGATGTTTATTGTCTCTGTGGGTGAATCCCCTTTTGGGGAAGATCTTTGACTTTTTTCCCCAAATCCGAGGCTTGCTTGAGGACTTAAGGTCGGACATCAGCTGCAATTGATGATGATGGTCTTCAGAACCAACACTATTGATTCTGTATTGACGGTACCTGTTTCAACTCATTTAGTTTGTTATTCAACACTTATTTTGCTGCTGTTATTTTTTGATTGTTGCTGCTTCATTGGTGCCATTGATGGACATTGGTGGACCAATTTGACATGAGCTCCTACTTTCACTGACTGCGAATCAAGGGACACAGCACAAACTTGTGTTGCAGAGCTTCCCTTTGTTTGATTTGCCACAAGATGTTCGTCTAACCTAGGCAGGCCCAGCAACCCACATTCATGGAACATATGAGCAACCAGTTTTATTCATGCTTTACTAAAGTAGTGTATGGCATGTTCTATTTGTTTGTTTATCATCAGTCTTCGCTTCTGAACGGGATAGGGACCCCACTTTTGACACGAACGAGATACTGTGATTTGCTACAAAAATAGTCTGAACACGATACTTTGACAGGACCTCATGACCTCCTACTTAAGTAGTCTAAACATGTCTAAAGGAGATAGGGCCTCTGATGATTTGATATTGAAACTGCTTGAGTTTAGCACGAATAAGCACCGCTGCTTGTATAGAATCTAACTGATGCCTCGCTGGTGTTGGTGGAGACGTTTGCCCCTTTTCTGAGGCCGGATTGAGCAAGTTCTGCGAGCTGCGCGGAGCTTTGGCTATGTGGACATTGCAGGGATGCTCGGTCATTGGCAAAACAGCGGAGAGAATCCATATCTGTTCGTTGAAAGGCAGTTGTTGAGATTATTGAATTGATCACACAAAGAGTGTATACACGTGTACAGTATGTGTTTTTCTATACGTGTATGTTGCTGACCATATGGTTTACTTACCTTTGTCACATGGTTTCGCATTTGCTCGCTGGGTTTGAAGAACCAGTAGTTTTTTCGCCACCCTGTTTCGACTGATGTCACAGATGAATAAGGTGGTTTGCAGCCGTTTTCATCCCCAAACGCATTGGTGCAGGAGAACTGAGATGAAGATCGACTCCACTTGATGGGAACTTGATCCCTAACAATCCATGTATGGAATAACTATTTGCCTACATTGCATTGGGGTGATTGTCAAGATGTTTTCAGGGTCAATGTAGGTATACAGTAACTATTACATTCCCAGGGATTGTTAGGGGATGGGATTCGATCTCCCTATTCGGAGAATCACTGGAGCAATGTCTCTGTCTATCACTTGATATAGTTTGGGAGCCATGCTTGAAGGGAAATCGTCCCGCGAGAGAAGTCCTGCAAAACCAAATCCCAGAAAAAAAGTGTATTGTTTCCATTACGCAAAGACCACCAACCAGAAAAAAACAAAAAAAACAGCATGGCATGAAGTTCAGACTGCTTAAAGAAGACAAACCTTCAAAAAGGACGACTCCAACAGGTGGAAGAACAACCTCCATTCCTCCATTGAAACGAGACCTGGACTCAGGTGGAAGATCCATGCTCTTTGGAGGAAACAAAAATCCAACGCCTCGCCCACGAACGTTGCGGCGACTCGACTGTTTCCGCCGACTCGATGAGGTCACCTTAGCCAATCGTCAGTGGCTGGCAACCTGTCTTGAAATGTGCAAACCACACATGACATGGCTGGATCCACACCGTATGGCGCTGGATATGGCTGGTTTTCCGGAGCCCCCCAGGAAGTTCTGCTGTTCTTGATTGAACATGTTCTAGAACTTATACCACTGCCGTACTTACTTGAAGATATCAAAGTTCTTCTAAACTGCAGCGCGGAACAACTTATGGAATTCCTTGTCCTGGCAGTCCTGGCAAATGTCATTGGTTCTTTGCCTCCTGCTTGTCACCAACAGCTGGTCTCCTAAGGCTCTTGCAAGGGACTTCAGACAAAAAACCGATGCAGTTAATTTCAGAGGAACATCCACTGGTGACACATGAAGGCAACGCACATCAATTCACTTATGGGCCACGGGAGTTCTTGAAAAATCTATGTTGCAAAAATCGAACCCATGTTATACAGCAATTACGTATATACGCTCAACGGCATGGCGGCAATTCTACACTTATCCTTGCTTCCGTCGGTGTAAGAAACAAACCCCGAAGGATAGACTGGTGCTTGGCATAAAGAATGAGTGAATGAGCTCCCAATATATAGAGGTTCAATTCCTCTGAGGGATGTGTATTGAAATAGGGAGGTCTAGACCTCCACAAGGAGAAAAAGCAGCAGGAACATGACCCAATAGACCCAAACCAGCACCCAAACCCACTGATTCATATGGTCTCCCTATGAAAATACACACCCAATTCCTTTACTTCCATTCCCTTTCATTCCTCAACTGCACCTCAAAGCTCTCTTGCTCGCTCCCTTCTTCATTCACCTCTCTCCACCGCTCCGAGGATCAAACGATCCACCTGCTGAAGTCCAGCTCCTCCACCGCGGTGGATCTCTGGGCGCTCTTCGGGGAACTGGGCATCCGAGTGTCGCCCGGCGCCGAACGCGTCGGGCTGCGGGTCGGGTCGGTTGGCTGGGTGACCGGGGGGGGCAAACCGGAGAAAGCGAAGCCGACAATGTAGGTGATGAGAAGGATGAAGTAGGGGAAATGATTGGATAGGATCGGAGGTTGTTTGCGGGCCGTTAGATCTCACAGATTTATGTTCCTTTCGTTTTTTGACTTCATATCACTTGACAAAGAGACAAAATGAATAGATCAAAGAGAGATGATTCTAGTACTGTAGGGGATTCTAGTACTGCAGGTCGCCACACCAGTTGCTTAGATGTGGCATGATGGTGTCATGATCTTCTTTGGATATTACTGTATACAAACAAGAAAACATGGCTGGGGCTGCGGGACCTTGGTTGACCGACATTGACCTACCTGGCCACAAAAAATCACGCCATAATGATGCATGTGCTTTCTCTGGATTCAATTGATGAGATCCGGTCCGATCGGAGCCAGAGACGCATCCAACGAGATCGGATGCTGCGGGGATGGCCCTTCTGGATGCCTTTCTCAAGATATCTTCTGGCAGGATTTAACAGGAGACCTTGGAGGCTGATCTTGGAAGAGTCTCCATTGCTAGCGCACCCGTCACTGCGAATTCAATTTCTAAGGCACTACGCGCACAACCCGCATTTGCCCATGAGAATGTCCTTGTCGAAGGCATGCCACACCGCCATGCTGGGGCAGCGGACAACAAAACCAAATTGTGGACCTTTGACACACCGACATCCTCCCAACTGTGATTTGACTAGGCATGGCATGCAAAGTACGTACTGCCCTCGCGAGCACTGGATTTCCACGGAATTTTTGGCATTGAGCGGGCAGTCCTTCGGTTTTGTTGGGTCCCCTTCACTTGCCTGGCCAGCCTTTGGACAACGACGGCATCCTGGCCAAGAAGGCCGGCTTTCGCTGCGGCATCGGTTTCGACAGCAGTGAGGAGATTTGAGTTATATAAGATCCCTTTCCATCCTTTCCTATCACACGAGCTATTTGGAGGACTTTGAAAGGCAGCTCAGTGGGTCAAACCAAAATGCCCTTGTCATTGGGTTCTTCCGCATAACATCACGCGATGGGTTGACGAGCCACACCCAACACCTCGCTTTTAACAAGGATACTACACGACACGGGTGCAAGGGTATTTCCCCTTAGCTTGAAGCTTGGGGCTTTCCCAGTCAACACACATGGGTTCTATCCCGGACACTCCATGTATGCTATATATCTCCTTTGTTCATCGCATGGTGAGGGCCACCACATCACCTGAGGATCACCACCCTGGAGAAGGCAGTTGGACAATCTGGAGTTAGAGGCGGACCCACCAAGCAATTCAGCATGACTGGACTAAGTTACCCTACATGGATAGGTCATGATTGGTCCTCAAGTGTCATAAACGGAGAACATGTATATCCCCCAAACACTCCATGTATGACATATTTTGGTTTACATTGAGTTGGTTCAAATGGGGGTGCTGCAGGTAGGTGTCAATGGTATATCTTCCAGTTCCCATGGCCCCATGGGGTCTGATCCTTTCCGACCGAAGAAGATCCCTTCTGCCAGGTGGCCATGTCGGCGGTTCTGGACCGGTGACTCGACAGCAGTGACGGTTCTGCTACGGCAGCGCATCGAAAAGGAAGCGGCCCCCATGGTCGTCCCATGTCGTCCCCTATATGGGACCGGTGAGATCCGGAGCTGGGATGGTCAGCGGTTCCAAGGGCCAATGGCTTCAGAATCTGACAGATCCACCAGGTTCAGCAGGTGCAGGTGTTGATTTCGGAAGGCATTTGTGTAATTCCACCCCTTGCGTGAACCACCGATGTCGTCCAAAAACTGACAGCTTTCACGGGATGTTCGCAAGGATCAGGTGGCCGAGAGAAGTTGGACTTAAAGTGCAGGCAAGACGTCTCTGAAGTTTTAAAGGCGACCAGAAGACAGGCCTTTTCACCATGGAAGGCAATTCTTTGAATATCTGTTCATCGTCACTCAAGGGCAGTGTGCTTTTGCAGACCCTGGCTTTGTAACTAAGTATCTCTCTTCAACTATAAAAAGGCAGATGGAGTTTCAACACCCTTATGAAGGCAGATCATCTTCGGAATCAGTCTTGCATTGCCTTCATGACCTTGACGAGTTGCAACTCAGGTACTATGGCGACAGTGTTAAGGCGGGGAGATGTGGACTGAGAAGGAGAGAAGGACCGAGAAGAACCATGCAAATTCGTCCTCTCACAGCCACCGATTCGCCCGGAGTAGCTGCCTTAGATGTGTTTTAATTTATATATCAATTGGCTGAGAGGATCACCCTCAGACTGACCAAATTCAAGGCACTTGTGGTACAAAAAGTTTGGATCATTGGAGAATTGACTTGGGAAGATCCAATATCTTATTTGACACAATGTCAAACAATTCAGCCGGAGTCCGTCCATTTGGCCACACCAAGATCGCATCAATGAGAAGCCACTCTTTCATCCGTCCATCGAAGACCCTTTGGATTTGGCCATGGCGCTCACGTGCCACACCCAAAACGTGCCTCACACAGAGCAAATGGACCAGTCTGAGTAGACTAGACCTTTTGTCGGACATGTTCCATGATGTTCCTGTACCAAGAAGCAAGAAGCACGAAGATGTACAGTTTGCATGACCGCCTAGGCAAGGAGACCGACCCGTTTGCTGATCTACCCAGATGCTCTAACAGCCCTTGGTCCCTCAAAACTCAAAACCCTAAGGATTTGATTTTCGCAGACCCTTCCATATAGGATTTGCGTCCAGGGTCGCGTTTGAGCGTCTGAATACCCCAGACACTGCCCCAAATATTGCACAAGGAGGATCACTAATTGTCCAGACACCAATTGTCCAATTATTGTCCAGACTACAAGCCAGACCCTCCTTGACTCCTTGTCCAATTTGCATAGCTTTGGATCTTCCGCTGCCCTGGACCTGCCTGCCGACTAGCCAGGCTCGGGTCCATGCAATGTCCTTTGGGGATCAAGACACTGAGGTGGGGTGGGTGGTCAGGTGGTGGCGGGTGGAGGGACCCGAAGGATTTCTGGTGATTCGATGTTTCTGGTTTTTGTTGTTCCACTGTTCTGCAGTTCTTTCTCTCTTTTGACACTGTTTGAAGTGTCGTATAGTCGTTTGCTCTCAGGCAAGGGAGGTTTTCCAGTAGTTCTGGCGGTTGTTTTAGAGAACTTTGACCTTATAAACCTATATATGGGCCTATAGCCCATGCCACAATTGCCAACACCTCAACAGAGTGAGCTCCACCTGCCTCATGGACCGAAGCCAGGCCACGGCGCTTCAAGAAGTGATGAAGGACACCGTAAGACACCGTCGCGACGCTCCGTCCCGTTGTCCAAAGCCATGGCCACGGCTGCGAGTGACCTCTCGGGGTCACATCTTGGGAGTAACAAGAACCAGGGAGACGTCTCGGGCAGACCCAATAAGAGACGTCTCCGGTGCATATTCTGTCCCGTATATATAGCTTAGACGCTCCATGGGACTGCCATATGACTATACATTGGGGTGGTTTGGGGGGTTGCGCAAAATTTGCGGCCAGGCACACTTATAGAATGAGTTTCAAGTCTAGCATGAATCATGATATGTGCATGTGAATCAAATGGTGAACACCCTGACAAAGACATCCTTTGCGGTGACGATCCCGCCACCAACAAACACCATGATTCCGTGCAGGGCATTGCGTGCAAGGGTGTTTTTTTAATGTTGGGCACTCCACTATACCTCCAAACCTCCAACCACCCCACCACCATTTGGATGAACATGCCCTGGCAGCCCCTTGTTGTACCCATCCAATGAAGGCACACGAACAACGTTTGATCAGGAAGCCTGGAGCAAGAGTTGGCAACGACCGATCTCGAAGGTGGTGAGGTGCACTGGCGGGATGCTGAAAATACACCAAGTGTGTCCAAAGGACCAGTTTCTAGGCCCATCTAGTTCGCCCCTTGGGCCTTGATGTGAATGGATCATCAAATGGGCATCCAATCTCCGGTCCAAAATGTGGAACTGCTGGTAGATGTTGGTGTTCTTTCTTTGGAGAGTTTCATGTAGCCAAGTCGAATCCCGGGCTTGTTCACTCAGTACCATGCAACTTCTGTGTGATGTGTCGCCTGCGGATGCATGATGTGTGAATATTGCATTGTGAAGTCGAGACTATACTATGAACGCACTCGTGCCGGTGATGCCTTTGCAAACCGGTGCCGTGTTCATCGTTAGTCTTGAAATGCACCATGCGCTGATTCTCTGCGTTGTTTTCTCTAATTTTGCTTTGAGAACGTCCGCAGGCTGCCAGTTGAACCGGATCTTCAGGACAGGATGTTATGATTTTGTTTCATTCATGAGAAAAAGCAACTCGCGCGTGGACACGTTGTTGCTGTTGCCATTGGTTTGTAATGAAATCGATCTTCCTGCACATTACCTCGGAAGCGAAACGTGCAAACCACAGTTACTTCAGTATATTTGTGAAGTATATATATATATACCTAGTAAACCATAAGTGTGCATTATTTTAGTCATTTTGGAAAAAACAATGTTTTGTGAAATAATGATACTCTCTCAACTTCACAGATCCCAACATACACTTTTTGGTATTTCACAACATTCCAGACGTGTTACATGAGAAACCGGATCCAAAGGGTTCCCAGCCACCGGGCTCAAAAGAAACACCAAAAAACAAGAGCGGAAATACCCGTCCAAAAGGCGGAAATCGGCGGAACAAAGGCGGAAATACCCGGACAATAATATGGCCCAGGTTTGTCAGGTTTGAAGGGTCAATTTGAAGTGGATCTGTTCCCGCTGAAATGGGCCAGGAAGACACGATAGCACTTTTCACTCTCGATTACACTGTTGCTTGAAAGAGTACGTTTTTTGCTTCCAAATCAGCCGATGGCAAAAAAAAGGCAAGGTTGGGTTTTCAAGGTATATATATTTTGCTTCGTTGTACCTGTGTTGCCTGGCGTGGATGTTGTCGATGTTTTCTCCCCTTATGTCGAGGAGAACAAGTACATGCATATTAAGTAGGATGTGGAGACTTGTTTATTTCCAGTTGAGAAACCTGCGAATGAAAAAATGCCAGGTCTCAAACAAAAGCGCGTTTCTGCACACTCAGCCCTCGGTTTACGTAGTCAACATTATTTGACATCATTTGTATGGCGCGTTTCTGCCAGAATGCATTGGTTAATTATATTGGTTGTGGCTTTGGTTCGTAGTCCTCAATACTGCTGATTACGGCGTCAACAAACACAACGACATGTGGCAGCGTAGCCTTTTTCCAGCCTTGGGGCATCATGAATATATGTTTTTCAGGTTCACGCAAGACTACCCGCTGAAAACTAACATGAACCCTGAAAACCACTGGTGCAGCTAGCCGGGTGCGACCCGGGACCATGTTAGTAATCGGGAGTGTAACTGTTCACAGAGCTGCGTTGGGATTCATCGAACTCAGGAGAATCTTCGTTACTACCTACCGCCCCCATCATCAGTTCTCTGGAAGCAACCATCCTAACTTTGTATAGCTTTGGCATGTGTGGACTGACATGTTTTCCACAAACCATTCGACCACCCCGCGAACCGACGGGTTGGTCGGTATGGTCGTCACGATGGATCCCCTCCGGGTAGGCGTTGCACCATCTTTCGTTGAGGGTTGAGACGCCACCATGGTGGCACCCAACCGGACTCTAATTGATTGGCGACCGGAGGGTGCTTTGCAAACAGAAACACCAACCGGTCCACCTCTTCACACCCTGACCTCCATGCCCGCCTTTGCCGCGTGGACTGGCGCCGAAGCAGACCGATCGTTGGACCCCAGGAGTTGGGACAAAGTCTTCAAAAGATCCTCGCGCACCTTCCAGCGCTGGTCCGTGTCGACGCGGATCTGGACCGGTCACACGAACTTGAGACCGCGGGGGGAGGTGACTGAACGAAAACCACCCTCCACCGTTTCAGGAGTTCGGTCCTTCCGGCGAAGGAAGCGCACATGTCTCGGTTCCGTTCGAGCCCCCCTTTTGCGTGGCGCGGGAGGTGGTAGAGGTGGCGAAGTTTTGTGTTCGTGGATGTTTTCGTTGGTTAAGAAACTCAAGGAGTTTCACTCCAGAAAGGAATAATTAGTAGAACAGTAGCTAGCTGGCTTTTGTTGCCAGACAGGTCAAGCAGTTCCTGTTGGTGCCACAGCCAGCTATTCTTTAGGAGTCTTGCAAGTCCCAATTAAGTGTTTTGTGGGCACTACATGCCAGTTTCAATTGTTGAACAAAAAGGATCAAAGAGGAAACCTTAGATTCAGATCAAACACAAGACACCAAGACATCCAAGGGGAAGAATGCACAATGAGTTCTTTTCCCCATCCCAGTGCATTGTTATACCTCCCCTGGGATTGTTGGATCTGTGTTTAACCTTCCAATCCTGTGATGATTTGACACTTGTTTGCAGACCTCAACAGGTTTTCTATCCGATGATGTGGAATAAGTTGTTGAAAAGCTATCACATTGCTATCCAAACAGGAAAAAACTAATGTACAAAGTCGGGAAGCCAATCCCACAGCAAGTCCATACCAGGCCCGGCCTTTTCGCGGCCAGAGCTGGTGCAAATGTTGCAGGATTTGGATTTGAGGACTTTAGATCGCCATCGTCGGGGCACTCAAAAAGCAAAGCTGGACATTTAGGGATGGGGAGCTTGCAGATGGGGATCTATATAATAACATAACAACTCAATACAAGAAATATATAGGATGGAATTATGTAAAGCATTTCATGTTAGGTTTGTATTGTTTGATCAAACCTGCCAGTTTGGGCAAGGTTAGACGTGCTTTGTTGCGAGACATTGCCATTGACACATTATGTCATATTGTTCAATAGAGACCGAGTAAAGAACCTGGTGCACATGGGACTAACCGTCCTCGTTCTCGTGATGGGATTGGAAACAACACACCGGTGTGACACGGTGAAGTCTTCAACCCTACCCAGACCATCCATGGGACTGAGGGCATATTTACCTAGATCAGTTGGGGTGGTGCCAGGGGGATCAAGTAGGCATATATTCCATACATGGATGGTTTGGGCTATGACAAGCTCTTATTCTCCTGCTATGCGGATGTTGCTTGAGAGTGGTCACCGAGGATGGTAGCGTTGTGATCCGTACAGCCCCGCTCAGTCGGGTCCTTTTTTTCGGATCCATTTTAAAGACTGAGACTTGAGGATGGAAGTTGCTTTGCCAAAAGACCGGTCAATGTCTTGTAACGAGATGTCATGACATGTCATGACCACATCGACACCAGTTTGTCTCCATGCATTCATGGACTTGAACTTGAACTGAACTCGTTTTTGGCGGCCGGAAGGGATGAATTGGATTGCCTTTCTTTAACAACATGACCATGTAGGATCTCTCTTGGCGGTGCCACTGCAAAGCAGAGGAGGCCGCTGATACCGCCACGTGACGCCAAAGCGCCGGGGTTGGGGTCGAGGTCAAGCGCCAAAACAAGGCATTCAGCTTTCACGAGCCTAATGATAGCTTCAACATCTTGGCATCATCGGACATACGATCCGATTTTTGCTTTTTTTGGTTTTAAACAACGACCATGCCTGAAATGATGACCGCAAGGCATGCCTGGACGCCTTCTTTTGTGGGCCATGGTGGGCCGTGTGCAGAGATGACAGACCATCTCTATGCCAATCTCCAAAGTGAGACATTTTGCCAGTGGCCTGGAGGCCATGAACATCATGAGCCCAGCCCGTGCGGGAAGTTCGGCGCGCGCTCAGGAAAACAGATGACGAGCGGTCAAATCTTCAGTATGGCAAACAGCTGGACCATAGCCCGAGAGTAGGATTTTGCTTTCCTCTGGAAGGACGCGCATTGCTTACGGTCCTTCCTTAGACATATGAAGATGAACTGCAAATTATAAGATGTTATGACATGACTCTATAGTCTATATAATCAACATATGTCATGCAAAAAGGCGGCGCTTCTATGCGCAGCTTGGGCCAGAAGGTCAGATAGTTCTTGTGTTTTTTATTGTTTATTTTATTTTTTTTTAAGGTGTCCAGTTTATGTAGGGCTGGGATGTTCGACTTAGGCGAAGCATACCCCAAAAATCCCCGAAACATACCCTCTGAAAACGCTAATTACTACATTAGTCGTCACACTGTGGGAAGCATACATCCGAAGCATACTCTAATCAAATATCCCGGCCCGGGAACGTCAGTCAAACAAATGCACCGGGACTTGGCGGCAAGTTCCTGAAACATGTCCAACATCCGATTGCAACAACTTCTGCCTCACGAACCCTCTTCCTTGTGGCTGCTTTGACCGGATGTTTGAACTCCAAGACAGCGCAGTGTGGCAAAAGTGATCTCACAAACGGATGCTTGCTCATTTGGGGATGAGTCCACACTCTTTAAAACCAGCAACATGCTGATTGGCGATAGATAGGTTGCTTGGAGAAAAATGACCAGAGAGACCTCCAGAAAGCTGTTGAACAGCGATGCCTATGGCTGTGACTTCTGGAGACTAGTATTCGGAGGCACCACACGAAGAGTCTATGATATAGTTTGTTTATGTTCAACAAAGGTTTTTGAAGTCCGTCCTGTAGGCTGTTCCTCGGTTTCCCCAAGTCAGGACTGGCACGCCATGTGCCATCAGTCGCAAGGCCTTTGAGACACAGCTGTTAGTGCCCGGCCGGAGAATGGCCGGTATTCCAGAAGCTTTTGAATGCCTGCACAAGGCTCAAGTGCCAAAGGAAATCACACTGCACAGCATTCGTTGGCGACCAATGCCACGACAAGGGAAATACGTCAAAACCATTCAAAACCTAGAGCCTGGCTGATGGTTATAAAGGAGATCAACCTTCTTCTATGAACTCTTGAACTGTGCTAAATGTAGAACTGTGTTCATGTGGTGCGATTTGGGAAGAATTGCATCGATCGAGGACCAACAACCTGAGACCTTTGTTTGCCTTGTGGGCCCCCATTCTTCAGTGGGTTCAAGAATTGTACCTGCTCTTTGGTACAGGATGCAAGGCAAAGATCGAAGTCTTTCGATCGTGGACCCGCAGAAGAACAAAAACACCCCTAGAACACTTCACCACAGTAGTCTACTGGCCCGAAACAAGTCATCAGCATCAAATCATCATCAAATCTATAATTCGAGTCTGTTTGATTCTGGGTTGACACACATTGGCACCTCCTCAAAGTCCGTGGCAACCCTTAAACAGCGGTGATCTTTCAGTTCTCACCATTGACGTGCGTTTTCACCTCCCTCAATGGGATTTCGAGGCTCACCTGGCCTGTCTTGCGGCTGAGGGGAAGAACAAGCAAACTTATGATCCATCCGTTGACCATAAGATTGATGAAAAAGTCAGAACATAGGAAAAGGACCGGCCAAAGTCCTTTCAATTTCCTTCAAAATGAGCCTTTTCAAGAATGGACCTGGATCTTCCAACTGTGCCAAATTGATTCCTTTTTTTCATCTATCAATCCGGCCAAGTTCGGCAGAAGCCGCCGCTGCACAGTTGGAGGATCAAAGCCGCCGCTGCACTGGTTTCGCGGTACCAAATTCTCGGCCCCAAGCTCCACATTAACCTTCCATCCATCTTTCGTTGCGCGCGCGGGCACGCAAGCGAATAGCACGATGTTTATGCATATTTGGCCTTTCGTATATAGCTACAATGCATAACGTGTGGCACGTCCAAGAGCTCTACAGCTGAATACGCGTGCGTGAGTAACAGGGTCCACGACAATCGAGACCCAGGCTAAGTCCTGGGCAACGACTTTTCCTCGCAAAAGAAACTTGGCCAATCCTAAAGTAATGCAATGTTTGACAGTTCCCTCCAAGTCAATGACCTCGTAATACTTGCATGTTGGAACGTTGGAGAGGATCCTTTTTTTAAATAGAATCTAGGTTACTGTACTTGATCTAATTATCTTGATCTCATTGTCATTGCACATGATCTCTTCAGAGGTGGTATTGGAAGAAGCAACATACCGATTTGCGTCTATACACAATCGTTTTTCTTTTGAAGTCGGCGGTTGAACACGCCACATGCGAACCAACATTTCCGTTGGATCTGCAGATGAACATCTGCAGATGATCTTCCAAAACCGTAACAGCAGCTTAATTGGAACATAACACCATGGGCGTCCCCCCAAAAAGAAGGAAGTACCTTCATCCATGGTAGTATTTAGGCCAGTATTTAGGCCACGCAGCCTGCCCCGCCTGAATCATGCAAAGGCGAGACCGGTCTACAATAAATCATTTGAAATCGATGAACATACCCAGATACTCCATGTGTGGCATATATGCCGCCCCATTGACCCCCCTGGCACCACCCCAACTGATCGGCAGTCCTATGGCAGTCCCATTAGTCGTGTTTGAACATAGGCTTTTTGCAAGATCCATGTGGCGACGACGCGTGGCGACGGCGACGCACGGCGTGGCGATGCGTGGGCCCGGTGCAAGGCCCCGTCGAACCGGTCGACAACTTTGCACGTGGCCAGGCGGCACCAGACACCAGATCTGGGGCAGAGGCCCGGTGCAGGGCCCTGCCTTGGGAACTGGGGATCGTCCAAGCGGATGTTGGGCTAGTGTACAAAGCAGCGACACATAGATGAATTATCCAGAAATAAAGAGATACGTTTGCTTTAAAACCTTAATCTGAGGCCCCAAAAAGCCATGCTTTTGACTTTGTGTGAGGTTGCTTCTCCAAGAATTCCAGCCGGGGGTGCCTCTTAAGATACATAGCCAGACTCAACATAGCAAAGCAATGGTTCTGGGGCAAGACGCTCCAACTACTGAACTGTTCTAGATGTTTAGCATGTGAATTCTGAGCTCTGAACTCTTCCTGGTCCCTAAACAATATTTCTAGCTCAACCTCTTTGCCTTCCCTTGTGCGTTGGCCCCAAACCAGTTAAGAGCCCTTGTGGGTCCGCGGAAAATGGGTCTGTAGCGCGCCTCATGGATGACCCCAACTCCAATTCTTGCTAGTGGGTTAGTCACAGGCTGGGTGGTTGACCTGAACCGCCCTTCTACAATTAACCTGGTGTTCAGGTTCTGGAAGTTCCTGTGTCAAACCGCATCCAAAATTATGTTTCTGAAGGAAGGAAGTTGAAAGGACGCCCGAATAATGTGTCAGCTTCTCATGTCTGCTCCACGCAGGGAGCACACAAGGCGCAATGGGGTGTTGAAGGGGTGATGCTGGACGAGAAGGATCTTTGTTGGCACTGAAGGTACGTTCCCTTGAGTCTGTAAAGTAGGCCATTTGTACAAGACCATTGTAGCGTTTGTTTGCTTTTCTTGTGGTTTGTTCTTGACAAGAAGCGGTCATTTCGCTGTGGGTCAAGTGTCGAGTGTCAAAACAACGTGTTCTTATGGAACAAGCCCGGTTTGTAGATATTAGATACTGTAACAGCAAAAGCTTCTCACAACATAGTTCCAACAAACCAGTCTACACTTTGCATCTTGTCCACACGCAGGTCGCAGCAGTGGCGGGACTCGACGAGGAGGCCTGGAACGGTGCCGAAGCCGACTTGGCAGGATTCACTGTGAAGACCACTGGTGTGGACAACCAGACATCCACTCGGCTTGGAAATTCAATCAAGAGGAATTCAGGCCAAAAAGGGCCTGTGGTGTTTCTTTGCCCGACATGCCATTGTTGATCCTGACAAGATGTCAAGAGTCAAAGGATTCCCTGTTGAATAAACGTAGTTACTAGTTACAGTAGTAATATATTATAATACATCCACTACTGATCTGTTGTGCATTTCCGTTTTATGCACTGCCATTCCACGTCACACCATTTTGTGTCAGTGGGTCCGTTGCTTCCATAAACATCCCAGGGGTTGTCCAAGAACATCTTGGAATTTCCGTGAGCTTGAGCCCCTTCCGAGATCCATTTCACATAGAGGTGGCCCTCAAGGACACATCCTCACCCACCCAGGAAGAGAGTGGATCATCCACCTGCAGGCCACCTTTTCTACCAACATAGTTTGGGGACACCGTGACACCGTCCCTTTCCAATTCCGGCCAATCAGGTGGTTCCACTCGGCGGCGGGCCCTGGATGGAGTTGGGTGGGCGTGTGCAACATGGCAGTTGGTCAGCAACTCAATTGAGATTATTACAGTTATATAAATCATATACTACATAAATTAGGATATATTAGATGATCTTCACACACTATAGATTCTGATACATCCTAATTATACAGTATTACAGTATTATACAGTATTACAATATATAGATAATGATTCTAATAATGTATAACAATTTATCATGATTTCTGGAAACTGAAGGAGATTCGTCCAAAGGTTCACTTCCTTCATCATGCTAGCAAGCATACAGCAGCCCAGCACAAAACCAAGGTAATAACCCTATGGCATCTTATGGCCAAGAACGTTGAGAAGACCAGAATGGGCGTATTGTGGCATCTCTTTGTTTAAATGTTATCGATCTTTTCTTGCTCAAACAGTGAGGGTCCCGGTGAACCGTGAGGGCAACGGCCTGCCGAGAGCGGCGGCCCTCCTGTTGCCTGCCTTGGTGTGGGTGGGCGTATGACCTGTTAATGGTGTTTGCACCATGCTCTACTCAAGCTTCCATCATTTAAACCGCAGCCCTGCTACATATATGCTGTACGTTTGCCACAAGCATGCCACAGGGTGGTGCAAGACTGACCCTGGGAAATCCGTAACCGTGTCTTGGCGTCAAAGCAAGCCATGAAGCTTGCTTCCGATTGAGACTCTCTATGGCAAAGACTCTCAAAGAGATGCTCCATCTCTATTCCTTTGTTCAGATTGGCCGAAAGTCTGAGGGATTCCACCAGAAAGTCTGATTCATCACACCCTGCGCTCCACAGACCCTGCGGTAGACCGGCGTACGTCACCCGATCCGACGGCACGGCGTGGTGGCACGTTTCGCCGGTGGTTTCGAACGCACGAGGCGAGAGTGGGGCAGCTCCAGAGGAACCGGGTTTCGGCCGAGGGAGACGGGTCACTGGACCCGTTGTGGTGGTGGGTCCTTGGCCCTTGGCGCTTGGGATTTTTCTTTACGTTTGTTTGTTGAATTAGAGGCCTTGCATCTTGCTCGTAGGATGGGAAGGTTGGAGAAGTGATGAGAAGTTCCAAGCCACGGCTGATGTGAGTTGAAAGAAGGTTCCTTTTCTTCTTGCAATGTGGTCGCTGGTTCCTTCATTGTTTCTAGCCAGACTGGGCACAACAAAAGAACACTACACTTAGTGTTAAGCATATTGTAAGACATTTGTCAGACTGTGCGCTGATCATGCTCCCGTTCCTTTGGGTGGATTGTGCCGGATTTGGCTGTTGAATGTTGGCTCTCCAAAGTTGGGATTTGCACCGCCAGGGCAAGGCAGAGGGGTCATTTCTCGCCCCAGACGGTTGGCTTAGCATGTTTAGACTGGTGTTCACCGAACATGACATGGCCAACAAAAGGGTGATTGGCAATTGGCCTGGGACGTGAATATGTCTGAAGATGTGATAGTCCCACACTACAAACGAATCCTATCCAGTGGTCAACCATGGTCAACCCCTCTCGAAGTGAGTACTTATGTTTCGATTGTGAATGACCACCCCTTTTGGTCGTCCCGATTCTCATTTCCTTTCAAAGCTTCTTGTCACTAGTAGCGATGGCCTCCAACCTGCTTGCGATTGGCCTCCACCGAACGACCGCGTCCCAACGCTACTCATTCCTCAACGATCCTCAATCCGGATGCTCATCCATAGGAGAGGCCGGAGGCCGACACGAGGCTCCTCCTGTCCGGTCCGGACGCCTCGGCAGATTTCAGGCGGACGAGACGTGAAGACGTGGCCCAGACACGCTACAGTATGTATGGAGACGCACCACACTGCTGTAGGTATAAATATATAAGTACTCTCCCTCCAACAAGAATGGAAGTGGATGGCATGTCCCCGGGAATGTGAAAATTTCCGAATGCCAAACAGAGGGTTGTCCCCTTCCATATTTCTTGGAGGGAGCCGATACCTTGCTCAGCTTGCAAGCACTCGCAGCAGCCGTGCCCCGAGGCGCCAGCTTTGAGACTATCAGCCGGTACAATCAATCCTATCCCTATGGATCCACATACCTTCTCAGAAGGTAATTGGACCCTTCAAGCCTACATAAATAGGGAGGGGTATTTATTTTTGGATGTTTTTTTGTTTTGTTTTTGGATGTTTTTTTGTTTTTGCTGGTGGCTTTTGGCTTTTGGTGGCTTTTGGCTTTTGGCTTTTGTTTCTTTGTTGGCCTTTGGTGGCTTCTCTTGGCTTTTGGCTTTTGTGGCTTTTTTGGCTTCCCTTGCTTCAAAGCGGTGCTGCTAGGAAGGAAGGAAGGAAGGAAGGAAGGAAGGAAGGAAGGAAGCATGTCCATGGTTTTGAGGGCATTGTTTTTTTTGTTTTTTTTTTTTTATCTGGCAAAAGGAATTAAGGAAAAGGAAAACATCAAAAAACAAGTAGCTTCTTGTTCCTAGTAGTAAGGCCAGGAGCCCCTAGTAGCCTCCTTGCTCCTAGTAGCGATGCCAGAAGACCCTAGCAGTTTCTTGTTCCTAGTAAAGAAAAAGGAACAAGGCAAACCAACACAAAAAAAGGGGAAAGAAAAAAGGGAACAGGACAAAAAGCAAAAGAGAAAAGGACAACGTAAAAAGGACAAAAGGAAAGGAAAAAGAAAAAGGAAAAGGGAAAGGGAAAAGGAAATGAAAAGAGCAAAAGACAAAAGGAAAAGAGAAAAAAATAAATAAAGTCAAAACAAAAAGGAAAGGGAAAAAGGAAAAGGAAAAGGAAAGGAAAAAAGAAAAGAACACAGGAAAAGGAAAAAGGGAAAAGGCAAAAGGCAAAAGGAACAGGAAAAACAAAAAGGACAAGGGAAAAGGAAAAAGGAAAAGGAAGAGGAAAAAGGAAAAAGGAAAAGGAAAAGGGAAAAGGAAAAGGGAAAAGAAAACGGGAAAAGGAAAAACAAAATAATCAATGGAAAACAACCGAAAAAAAAAAAAATATAATAAAAACGAAAAAAAATCAGAAATAAATTCGCAACCCATAAATAGTCTCCAATCACCTTCTCAGAAGGTATGTGGATCCATAGGGTATGTCAGAACGCCAGGTACAGCAGCATTTTCTCATGAATAGGTTTGAAGGTGTGTCTTTGTTTTTTTGGATGGTGTCTTTCAGACCCAGCTCAGTGAAGGTCAACATGATGTTACAATCCATATATATATATGTTGGAACTTATTTCCGCCAATGGGTCCAATAAGACATGACGCAAAACTGCGTGTTTTACTGGCTTTGCCAGTCAAAGCCGCGGATGTCTCCCGTTTTGTCTTGCCCTAATAAGGCAGAAAGAGTGGAAGTCTGATGCCAAGCCGGAGCGAAGAGGCCTGATCACAACCATCTCCGTGGCGACAGGATCCATTTTTGTGGTGGTGTTGGTGTCCAACTGAGATTGCACTTTGCATGGCCTTGCATGGCCTTGCGTGTTGTTTGCATGGCCTACGCGTTTGGTAGCTCAATGTTCATCCTGAACTGGTGTGTCAGACGTGGAACACGTCACCATACCTGAGGTTCGGTACGACTGGATCCCTAGGGATACTTAAGGAACTTTCCTGCAAAACTAAAGTGATGCTGTAAATTCACCTCCGAAGGCATCCCAGACACGGATGGACAGCTCGGCAGGTGATGGATGGAAAGCTCGGCGAGGAGGTGGTATGCGTGCCAATCCGACAGCAAAAGAGTTATATGTTGGGTCCCCTTTTTTTTGCAAATCAGATTCCTTTTGGAAGAGAAGAGGTTGATTTATTTGATTTTTCGACTCAGAGTGATTTATTATGCATATTTCTAGACATTATACAAAATCGTATAGGTATGACATATAGCCTGAAACTGTTTGTTTGGGCATCCCTTGTGTGAGGAATCAATTGTTTGAGTCGTTTTGCTCTCGCTTCGCTGTACTCCCTTGCCTTCACGTCGCTCTTCCGAGAGACGCTCTCCCGACCTAAATTCCCGGATTGTGCGATTCCTTCTGCACGGGGTAAACGGCCTCCAGATGTGTTAAAGTGGAAAGGCATTTTGATTGAGTGGTATTGGGACGGAAACTGGAGTGGTGTTGTCGGGGAAACTGCCAAGAGTAAAGCACCAATTCAGGGTAGTGGCAAAAGGCAAGACAAATGTACAGAGGCTTGCGATACGGCTTATTTTTCTCATAAAGAACTATATATCACTATCACAATCTTCCATTGATTCTTGTTGGGTCAAACAAAGATACCGTGGATACCCCAGAAAAAGGACACATCGTTGGCCGTCTCGCCAGGTGGTGAACCCAAGGACCGACCGATATCGATCCTGCGTCGACCGTCATATCACGGTGGTGGATGAGTTGGCCATTCGCAGGGGGTGAGGCCCCGGTGGAGGCATTTGGAGATGAAGAAGACCATCCATATCCATCCATGGGACTGGAATAGTTATGTTCATGGATGACCCCATGTATGGCCCTAATGTAGGTCACATGAGGTAACTATTCCATACATGGATGGTCTGGGACAAAAATATTCGGCGAACCCAGTGGCACTTGAAAGCATACCCAAGTGACACAGGGGGAGAAGAGGGTAAGATCGGAAGAGACCCAGCCCGTGCGGCATCTCATGTGTTTTCCTTCTTCTCCCTGCCTTTCACCATCGGCCATTGTTCAAAGGTCACCAAAGTAGCCTAAAGTCATCGTCTCAAAACTCAAGTGTGTCCCCGTGCCCCCGCATGATTTGGCAGTGGGTAGCCTATAGTATCTTGGGCTTTCATGTCAAAAAAAATAAGCTTGGAAAGATGTACTGATAGTCGACTTCCTTTCGAAAGGGCCATTTGCATGGGTAGAACCTTGCAAAGTCTATTTGGCTCCCGCAGCCTTTGCGCAGCAACACATACATCAAAAGTCACTTGAACAACATACCCTCAGGTCTACGTGCGGTGAGTGCATCTCACGATCAACGGCTGAAGGGTATCAAACAAAGGAAGCATTTCGCCATGCCGTCCATGTATCTTGCTTGGCTATCTTTGGTGACGGTGCGCTGCACTTGATGTCCTCAAAAGAATGAAGAGTTGAACATGGTGAGACAAATCCTTTCAAGGTGACACCTGTCACCAAATCTCATACTAAGAAATATTATGTCATGTAGAAATACAGAACAATAGTTGCTTTCGACGTCCTTCAACTACCCAAAGAAGGACCCTGCGTTCCTTCGGATCTGCGTGATCCTTCGACTGCAGGTCGTTGCAGGTGAGGCTGCACTGCGTGGGAGCAACCTCACCGCAGTTCCTTCGCCTTCAGGAGCGGTCCGCGGGGCGGTCCGCAGGGTAGGGCTCCAAGCATTTGAGGAGAAGGTGGGTGGGACAGGGGTGGGTGGATGCCAGGAGGGTCCAGCCATACCTGAGGAGGTACGACTGTTGGAGCCCTAGGAGGTACTGCAACACATAAGGCACGCATAAGGAGGAGGCATGCAGCACCACGGAGGCATCAACGTGAGTGGAAGGCGGATGCGACATCCAACGAGGCTTAGGTGATATTTGAAGATAATAATGGATGCAAAGGACTTAAGATTGATGTGGTTTCGATTTGGCCGAGGTTTGTACCAGACTCCTGTGGCTTCTCACATTGATATTTGTCACATGCAACGAGTGACAGTGATGATTGTTTCTCAAAAATAATATGAAAGTCAAATAGTAACTCATTGCAGGTACCAGAATAGATATAATGAATACTAGGTACCAGGTACCAGTCTTTTCTCATAAAGAATGGTGTCTCCGGTCTCCAAACAGGCAACCGATCCGCCGCCAGCAGCGCACCGATCCGCCGGGCGCGGAACTTTTGGAACACCAGATGCTCGGCCTCCGGCGGTGCGACGAGCCTTTGCGATGATCCCCCTGAAAGTGGGTTGATAGTGATTACGATTGATGTAATGGGAAGGTTTGAACATGTTTGAATCCTATGACACAATCTGTTTGTTTATTAAGCTTATAGGATTGACACAAGCTGGTTGTTTATTAGACTTAAGTGATCGATTGTGTGATGTGTTGTTTTCAAGGCATTCTAGAATCCGAGTTTCTTGTTTGGGTGGGAACATCGGACATTTCTGGGGAGCCGGTCACCATGCCGACAGACTCCTCCCTCGGTACACACCCAACCCAACCCTGCCTGGGCGGTGATCTTCCGTGACTTCGGTTTGGAAAAAGCTGGGCTTAACAAAAGCTCCGTTCAGAGGACACCCACTCACCGGTCACACCGCAACCTCCGGGACACCTCCGCCGAGGCGCCTTCGCCGAACTGCAGCGGCGGAACGCGACCCCCGTGACCCCCGTGACGGTGCAGAACCCGGAGGCCCGGGCCGGTCCGGGATGCGGTGCAGAAGCGTGGAGCGTGCTGGAGCATCCGGGTGCGGGTGGGGGCGGCGCTCGCAAGATGAAGCTGGTTGGAAGTCTTGGGATTTAGATGTGTGAGGTTGTGCATTTGGACCATTGGATGAGTCAGTACGAGTATACATTTTGTAGTGTGTATTCTACTGAGTATGAGATTGATGGCAGTATTGATGCGTTTGGTTTCCAATTTGGGGAGTAAGTCGGTGAGGAAGCGCTTCCTTCGCAACACACTTTTGGGCAATCTGGCATCACAGAAATAGAAGAGGACATAATAATGTCATACCAAATAGTAGAGAACAACATCAACACAGATCCAGACCAAGGACTGCAAATAGATAAGCGACATTTGCACATTTTGCAGCAGTCGTATGTGGTCTTTTGATCCGAGCCGTACCCTATATCTTTTGTGGTGTCACGTTGGCCTACAGTGTCTAGCCGTGAGAGACCGGAAAGTGGTCGAGTTTGTCTCGCCTCGCTTATTGATCACAGAGGCTCGGCGCTCTAGAACGGAACTGCCACAGTCTCACAGTCGACTGTGGCTCGAGGCCATTCTGTTCCTAAAGAATCTTTGTTCCTTTCACGGCAAGAGTTTTGGCCGGAGGAACAAAAGACCTGCGGAATTCGAACGTCCATGGACGGCAGGAAATCCAGGTCGTGAAGCAGACGGTGCAGGTGCTGCAGTCTCCTGGCCAATGAAAGACAGGTCGTTTTCAGCGACCTTTCTTTCTCTTGCGCCAAAAGTGTTTCGCTTGTGACGTTCGCAGGAGATCCATCAATGCCTTGCCAACAGGCTAGTCAGGCCCTGTTCGGTTTCAATTGTATTACGAATTGGCACATCCCCATCGCATCGAGGGCCGGGGAGCGACCCATCTTCGCAAATCAAACCGATCAAGCAAGGACGCAACACGAAAAAAAGACAGACCCAGACACTCCATCTATGCGATATGTATCGATATGCGTAGTGATATGTGTCACAATTAATAAAACTATATATATATATATAACTATACTTTTTACCTACAGTTCCAGTCTAACCCAGTACAACCTGGTCCTGCACCTCATTGAGTAGTGTTATTGTATGACCAAGTGACCTGTAGTGCTACATGACTTAACCTCTTTTCAAGCCAAAGTCTTCGGTCAACATATATGCGCTGACACCATCACCCCCATCGAGCTCCCGCGCTCCCCAGCGTTCCTCGAACTCAGGAGCTCCAGGAGTTCGGAAGGCACTGAGAAGCCGAACTTGAGCTTGCCAGTGCTGAACTTGACCCTGCGCAGCGCAGCGCCCGTGGAGCGCAGCGAGCGCAGCTCCGTAGCGGGTGAAGCGGAGTGGTTTCTTGGAGCTGCATGGGTGAGAGGCAGGAGAGGAGCATGGCTGGAAGAAAAACGTGCAGGTGGAAGGCGCGGGGGACTGTTTGGGACAACAATAGATTCCATTTTGGCGCAAAGAAGAGCACACAAAGCGCTGCACTCGTGAAACCTGGACAATAATCTAAAGAAGAATTCGCAAGCAGACACGCAGGCAGTGGCAGTGGGTGGTGTGAAAGGGATTGAAAGGGGGTGGTAGGCATTTCCTTCAAGAAGAACAGGTTCGGTTCAACTACCCTGAGATGTCTTTATCCTTAAGAGAAGACCAGTGAAGCCCCCGTCATGTCCATGCGGTTGCGGGGACACCCAAAGATGGAACATAATGAAATGGAATGAATGGAAAAGATAAACAATTGGTAAACAGCCAGTCTTAGACTGGACGATGAACCCGACCCATTCGTATAGACACCTGAGAGCCGACCTTATTTTACTATTTTTCAGCATGATCGGCTAGCCGCTGACCTTGGGAATGAGCTCAGTTCGATGACCGCATGATCCACCTACGTAGCAATTCTTATCCCAGTTCAATGGGGTGTGAACTGAGAATCTCTGGCCCGAGCCCCGAGCTTCACTTTATGTTTGTTTTCCTCACCTTTGCATATTCCATTCATGTTTGACACATCCCCGACAACAAACACATACAAACTTGTCTCCGATTTGTCTCCACTGACCACAGCCAGCTCATTCCACCGAACCTGAAAGCGCGCCATGAACCTCATATAGCATCTCATGCATAGCGAACTCATCGCGAACCTCTTACTCCCCTGTAAGATTAATATGGAACCCTTCGCAAGACCACGGTCCGGGTTGGTCTTGGGAACATGGGTCGAAGACCACCACCGGTCTTTCTTCTCAGGTTCCATCCCGGATCCACATACCGAACCTCAGAAGGTAATTGGACCCTTCTGGCGCCTACATAAATAGTCTCCAATCAGCTTCTCAGGTTCGGTATGTGGATCCATAGGGCATTGGGATCCGTCACCAGCGGGAGGGTCGTCCAACGACTTCACCAGGTGCAAGGGCAACTGGTGCCACCGCCGCCGCCAGAGCCATGGCCAGGGCGACCGGCGGCGCCACGCCCGGCGGCGGCAGCCTGGGGACTCGCGGAGGAGGCGAGGGTGGTGAGCTGAATGGATGGGAAGATCAGGAAAGAGCGCGAAAACTCCATCCATCCATCCATCCATCCATCCATCCATCCATCCATCCATCCATCCATCCATCCATCCAT